GATGGATGGATGACTGACTCCAGCTCCTGGTTGCTCCATCACGCTCTTCCTGCTCCTGCAGCTGGAGTTGGAGGAGAACGACTCCATGTTTGATCACATGACCTTGGGGTCGACCCGCAGGAAGATCTGGAATCTGATGGAGAAGCCGTTCTCCTCGATCACCGCCAAGCTGATGGGCGTGGCCTCCTCCTTCTTCGTGCTGGTGTCGCTGGTTGCCATGACGCTGAACACGGTGGAGGAGATGCAGTTTAAGGTACGTCTCTGAGGGAACCTGTGAGGCCGAGAACCTGCTGAGAACTTCCCTGCGGTTCCTCTTTGCTGCAGCTGCCGTCGGGCCAGCCCAGTGGCAGATTCTACGGCGAGGGCGTGGAGACGTCCTGCATCGCCTTCTTCACCCTGGAGTATCTGCTGCGCCTGGCCTCCACGCCTGACCTCCGGTGCTTCGTGCAAAGCGTGCTGAACACCGTGGACCTGATCGCCATCCTGCCGCATTACCTGCAGATGCTGCTGGAGTGCTTCGAGGACCGGGACGTCCACCACCACTCTGGGGACATCGAGACTGTGGCGCGTGTCGGGAAGGTAACCTCAGGACCGGGTGGTGACCCTCTACAACGGTTGCCCTCGACGATTCATGGACCTTCTGTGTGTCTCTGTAGGTGGGCCAGGTTCTGAGGATCATGCGTCTGATGAGGATCTTCAGGATCTTGAAGCTGGCTCGTCATTCCACCGGGCTGAGAGCCTTCGGCTTCACTCTGAGGCAGTGCTACCAACAGGTCTGAGCTAACCGTTACCGGATCAGGAGCTTCCTCCCAGCAGGAGATTCCCTGAAAACCTTCAGCAGGAGATCCTTATTTCTGAAGCTCCTCAGCTGAGCAGATGTTGGAGCTGGAAGGACTTGGATGGTTGAAGCTTCTTCTCTGGTTAGTAGAGGTGAAGAAGTTAATGTCCTCGTCCTTCCTTCCTCTCAGTGGTGGGCGGGATCTGTCTTTAAACCTTCAGAGAAGACCACCTCCATGGATGGACCTCCTTTGCTCCCACTGAAGGTTTTCCAGGAGCTCCTCACTGGCAGGAAACCCCAGAGGCTATAAAAGTTAGAACAATAGAAGATGGTTCCTCCATGTTTCCTTACCTCCTTCCCTTCTGCAGGTGGGCTGTCTGCTGCTCTTTATCACCATGGGGATCTTCATGTTCTCCGCCATGGTTCACAGCGTGGAGCACGACGTCTACAACACCAACTTCACCTCCGTACCACACGCCTGGTGGTGGGCCGCCGTGAGTGGACCTTCATCAGACACTAATACCAGAAGGAACAAACGAACGGGTGGGCGGGGATAAAGGAAGGAGGAGGGATGAAGGAAAGAAATGAAGGAGAAAGGAAGGAATGGAAGAAACAAGGAAGGGAAAAGAAAGTGGGAAGGAGGGAAAGGAGGAAGGAATTGAGGGAGGGGTTAAGGAGGAGGTTAGGAGGGCATAAAAATAAGGAAAGGGAGGAAGGTGTGTGATGGAACGGATTAAGGAAAGGAGGGAGGAAGGAATGATCAACATTGGAAAAAAGGAGGGATAATGGAAGGAAGGAAGGAAAGGTTGAAGAAAGGAAAGAAAGAAGAAAGTGTGGAAAGAAAAAGGGGGGATAGAATGAGGAAAGAAGCGACTGATGGAGGAGGAAGGGATAAAGAAAAGAAAGGAGTGATAAAGAAAGGAGGGATGAAGGAAGGAAGGAAGTGAGCGAGGGAGGGGGAAAGGAAGTAAGGAATGAAGCAAGAGGGTCAGATTCTTAGACCGTCACACCTAGATCAGACCGCGGTTTTCAGGAATGTCTCCACCAAACCTGGAGGACAGTGAGAACATCATCATCTCCTGTCTGGTCCTCCAGGTGAGCATCTCCACCGTGGGCTACGGCGACATGGTGCCAGAGACCAACCTCGGCCGCCTCTTCGCCTTCGGCTGCATTTCCTTCGGCATCATCCTCAACGGCATGCCCATCTCCGTCCTCTACAACAAGTTCTCCGACTACTACGCCAAGCTCAAGTCCCACGAGTACGCCATGGTCACCAGGGCGCGGGGGAAGGTCCGCTTCATCAAGAGGGCCGCCAAGAGGATCGCAGAGTGCTGCGATGAGGTCGTTCAGCAGAAGCCAGCTGGGGGAGGACATGGGGGGCAGAACCACGGGGTACCTGGGTGTTAAACGGTCCGTTCAGGGTCACAGTGCCTTGGTCTGCTGGACAGGTCCGTCACTGGGACCACAACAACGCACTCATTCAAAGTTAGAGCAACGCTGTTAATTCAAGCCACCAGGGGGCGTTAGACATGTAGCTTCCAGGTTTAGCACCCCTGAAGGCCTCTGACAGCGCCTCACTGTCTCTAAATGACGCAGCCCCAATCCTAAACGGGCCCCTAAACACCAACCCTGAGCACTAACCCTCCGTTTGCGCTTTCCCACGGAGGGTCACCCTCATCAAGGGCCGTCCCAAATCATATAGTGGTGCAGGCTCGCTGAAATTTGGCGGCGGATGATTTTTATTGTTTAAATATTAATAAATATAATAAATGGATGAAAGCATCACTGTCCTTGTTTCCTATTTTAATTTTCATGATATGTATTTATTTTCATCTACGAGCTGGAAACGTCCACAGATCAGATAGCAGAAATCTGCTCACCTTAATTTAACGGTACTGGAGATAACCCACGTCGAGGCAAACCAGAGGAAGGAAGCTTTTTGCTGCTAAACTGAGGAACCACCTCAGCAGAACCGAGTGGCTCTTAAGCTACGGTCAGACCGCGAGCAGTAGGAGCAGCATGAATGCGCCTCATTTTTGATGCTTATACAAGTTTAGTTCTGACGCACGGCTGAAGCATCCTTGCTGCTCTGGCTGCGG